TTTTTTTTAAGAAAATGAGCAAAGGCAAAGGGATTTCCTTGTTTGTTGAACGGGTGAGTGCTGCTGCAGAACAGTAGTGCTGTGCGCACAGCCTCCGTCGAAGACGCGCGCTCATTAAACACGCCCCACCCGTCTCGCGTCTTCCTCACCTTTTCAGAACCGAGTGCTCGGTGCTCCTCGGTCAAGGGGGAGACACTGAACGGGCCCGCAGAGATCCTACAACGCAGGGCCAGGAAAGATCAGTCTGATGGCTGACGGCATAAAAAAGGAAGGAAAAAAAACGGGAGGACACTTGTCGTGGTGGTACATGTTTTACGAACAAGTCCTAGAGAAAAACAGAACACCTGGGGTTTGTCAAGAAAGTACTGATGACTTTCAGGGCTGCTGGCTGTCCGAGCTTCCTAACTAGTTGCTCAATAACACAGACGGCATCGGTTGCACTGGCATGCAGGAGAGTCCGCAGCAGGTGTGGTAGTCTGGGAGCTCTGACGTGGCCAAGAGCCCTCCTGTGGCCCACCAGTTCCTTCTCCAGGACCCTGGCTCCCCTGGGGAGTCGGAACCCGTGTCAGGCTCCCCCAGGGGCTTCTTGTGTCCTGCCTGCCCGAGGTTTGACATCGAGAGTGCCCGAACTCGGGGACATTATGCCTGGCAGTCTTTTAAACGCCTCTGGTTTTTAGTGGTGCGCAGACCTCCGAGGTGCCGTAGAGGGCGAGACCCCCCCGCGCTGATCTCCCGCCCCCCTGGCTGCAGGTACGAGAGCCCGGAGGTGGCGCTGAACTGCGGCATGATGCTGCGCGAGTGTCTGCGGCACGAGCCCCTGGCGCGCAGCGTGCTGTACTCCGAGGAGTTCTTCTGCTTCTTCCGCTACGTGGAGCTGTCCACCTTCGACATCGCCTCGGACGCCTTCGCCTCCTTCAAGGTGAGCCGGGGGAGGGGGAGGGGGCGGGGGGGGGCGCCGCGCCTCGTCGCACCGCTGTCACGTGACCCGGAGCCGTCCAGTCAGAAACACTGTTGTTTTACGAGCCGGAGCTCTCTAATTAAGAAAGAAAGCGCGGTAGGAAAAACGGCGATGAACCCACCCATCGTTTCGGCTTTAAGCGATTTAAGGTGTGCAGTTCCGTGGCCTCACAAACCACTTGTGTCTTAAATCTCTGGGCATGGGGACTGAAGGCTGTTGCTTATTTTCAGGATCTGTTAACGAGGCACAAGATCATGTGTTCGGATTTCTTGGAGACGAATTACGACAGGGTAAGTGCTCTTTTGAAGTGGGGCCAGTTTATGTTTTGTTCTTGTTTCTCGGAACTGTTTCCTAATTTTTTGAATATATTTTTTTTAGGTGTTTACAGAATACGAGAAGCTGCTGCACTCCGACAATTATGTGACCAAGAGGCAGTCTTTGAAGGTACAGTACGTCTTCCTGCCAGAACGTCGTGTCAAGTATCCCAGTCGCCCTGTTGCAGGGACTTTCTTTTCAGAGACCTGCAGTGCTGAGCCTCCCTAGAAGACTCAGCTGGTGAAGGTGCTGCTGGAGCTCAGAGCCCAGCCTGAGTCTGGTGCTCCAGATGTTGCTAGTTTTACATAAAGGTTACCCATGAGAGGAGGTTACTTGGCCTGCCTGTTGTTGGGTCATTAATAGTTGTTTGACCCAAGGATCTCGACCAGCTGTTTTCTGGGTGAAACGGCTCATCCACACCCCTGGGACTCCTCGGGTAACTCCCATAATGCCATGGCGATTTGGCTGGGCATCAGTCAGCCAGGGCCCAAACCAGAGACCCTGGAATATGTGCCGCTCTGCCAGTTCTCACCAGCTCCTCCGGGGGGCGCAGTGGTGCATGCGCGCGCGCTTTCTGACGGGCGGGCGTGGCATCGCTGGACAGCGCTCGCTGGCCCTCCTTCACCCTGGTGTGGCTCCGAGGGCTGTGGTGGCGTTTACTGGAGCCGAGTAGTTTGCAGCCATCGGCGCTTGCAAAGAAACGTCCAGGAGTTTTACCAAAGGAAAGAGATCGGTGTGTGATTTCTTGGCTTCATTTTATTTATTTATTCCCCCCCCGACGCGCAGCTGCTGGGAGAGCTGCTCCTGGACCGGCACAACTTCACCGTGATGACCCGCTACATCAGCCGGGCCGAGAACCTCAAGCTCATGATGAACCTGCTGAGGGACAACAGCCGCAACATCCAGTTTGAGGCCTTCCACGTCTTCAAGGTGACTCCGGGAGGGCAGGGAGCGCCCTCTGGGGGTCGGGCTGCGCCACGGCGGGCTGGGGCGTGCTGGGCGTGTTTTTCTCGCGTCCGGCCGCGGGGGAGAAGCGGTGCTCGCTTTGCGGTGCCGCTCTGCCCGGCCGATCAGGTGGAGACGTCGGGAATTGCTCGCTTCCCGATGGAATTAAGGAGGAACTTGAGGGGTGGCCAGATTTCAAAAGCGCGGAATGGAATTTAGCCAGTTCAAACTCTACTGATGTAAAGTGCGATGTGTTTCCTAAGTGACCACCTAGTTAGGATCTAGGACTTCACAGTGTCCGTTAGTTTGTTGTCAACAAACGAAGGCAATGGTTTGGGAATTCTGGTCCAGTGTGAAGAGCACCACCTACTGGTCTACCCATCACTTGCAGCCCACTAGATTCAGGCCTAATGAGGTTGTCGGTTTGTGGATCCCTTGTTGTGTGCGAGTAAGAAGTGTTAGAGAATTTAAAGCTCAGGGGAAGTGTAATTTTAGTATTATTATTATTATAAAAGACTATTTTTAACGGTGGAAACTAGAACGTGTGCTTTTTTAGGTCAAGTGCATCATCACTGTTCGATCCGGCGACGGCGCACATCCAGTTTGATCACGTTGCGGTTGTCGTCTCCAGGTGTTTGTCGCCAACCCCAACAAGACCCAGCCCGTGATGGACATTCTCCTGAAGAACCAGGCCAAGCTGGTGGAGTTCCTCAGCAAGTTCCACACGGACCGATCCGAAGACGAGCAGTTCTGCGACGAGAAGAACTACCTGATCAAGCAGATCCGGGATCTGAGGAGGGCCACACCCCAGGAGACCTAAAGCCCTCCCAGCATGCCCCTGGGCCCCCTGAGCGCGTCAAACTCAACTCCCCCACCTCCACAGGGGGGTGGTAGGACCCCGATTCCTGTAGACACTTGACCTGCCTGCTAGGGTCAAGAAGTGGGTCTTGAAAATTTGGGGGATATACCCTACCACCCCAGTACTTCCCTAAATCTCCTCCAAGGAGGATGAGCAGCTTGTTATTTAACCCATGTCTGGGGTTCCAATTTTTTTAACTGGCTGAGCTGTGTGCGTTCAATAGCTAACTTTATTAAAAAAAAATCAAACAATGTTTTCTTTAAAAAAAAAACTTATAAGCGTTTAAAAAACCTCTCTAAAGAAATGCCTTAAGACAGTGCTTGATTTAAAACTGGGTGACGGATGTGATTAGAAAGTCCCTCAGAGCTGCCATTTTCTGAGCCTTAAAACCTGGAAGGCTTCCTGGCTTCTGACTGCTCGGCATCTTTGTGTTTGCTTTTGGGGTTTGAGACCGGCGAGTGTAAACGCAGTGTGTGAGCTACAGTAATTGCACATTACTGGGGCTGGTACCTGAATATATTGTGCATTGTTACTGTATGTATATATATATCTCTCTCCAGTGTGTATCTGCCTGCCTGTGCTGACGACTGTGATTGTTCGCTTTGCGTCAATGAGGGGAGCACTGCGTCTCTAGGGCTGCCAGTTCACGTCCCAGGCTGTGGGGTGTTGCCGACCTTGACCCTAACTGCACCCCCCAGCTCCACTCGCTGTTGTTCCGGGTCGTCGGCGGAACTGTGCACGGCCTCCCTTATTTATAACTTAATAAATATGCTGCTGACAGTATATATATATAAAAAAATAGGAATGCTTACGTGTTACAATGGGGAAATTTGATAAACGAATTAAGTGCTGTATTGAATTTACCAAGGTGAACCGTTTAGAGTTATAAATAAAAACAAGCCATCAGTGCAGAGCAGGGTTAGCCGTTGTCTGTTCTCATGCGAATTCCTGTGAATGACAGGAATATATCATTAGTGAAGTTATGAAGGGTCTGGATGGGGATCAAATGCGGGCAAACAGCCTGTATCCTGGGATTGGAAATTGCTCTCTCTAGGGGGAAAGTTAACATCTGGGTCCTAAGGGACATTAAAGTAACGTTTGTAGAAATAGTTTTAGGGTCTGATTATGCACTTAGAATAATTCCTGTAGATCTTGAGAAATGTAGCTTGCAGTTTACTATTTATGCTTGCATTTTCTCTTCTTGGTATTTTATATGGATAGGACAAATTTATACCCAGTTTGGCGTATATATATATAAGAGTCACAAATTAAAGTGCCTCTTGATTTTGATTAAAATCAGATTTGTTTCCTTACAAAGGTTTCCTGTATAAGGGTTCACAACTCGAGTCCTCAGGGACTAGAATCCACCTGGTTTTCTAGGTCTCCTGCAGTTGTGAGCAGCTCTTCCCCTGGGTGAAGGGTTAAACCGCTTTCGGTAGCTTTGGAAACCTGCACATCCTAGACAAGTAGGTCTGGAATTTTTTTCTTTTTTTTTTTTATATTTGATTGAGCTCTTAAGTATAAGAACTCCGTGTGTCATCTCAGTAGCTTTCAGGCAGGAACAAAATCCATTCTAAACCAAAAACGCCTTCCTTGAGAAAATGTATTGCCATGACAAAACATTTTGCATCTGTCTGCAGGGCACGGTTCAAATCAGGGAGGTGGCAAACTGTTTCTGGAGGGCCTTGTCTCCTGGGTTTTGCTCTAAAATGAGTAGTCAATTAACTAACCTGTCTTCTAAATTAGGCATTAGGTTACAGTTGATTACGCAAGACATTCATTTCATTAAAAGAACAACTACTTACAAACAGTAAAGGCACGGTTATCTACAAATCACCTTGGAGCCTAATTAGAAGAATTACAATCATGAATATAACCTTTAAATAATTAGACTGTGACTGGGAATGTGGGTGAAACAACCCCCAGAAGAAACGAGGTGCCCAGGAATTGTTTGAGATTACT